TTTGCACATTTCCTTTGCATGATGTTCTGGCCACCTTTTGGGCATGTGTGGGGAAGAGAGGGTGGCCGAAGCCCGAACAGGCCATGCTTTCGCTCTCTGGAGGCTGGGCTGTAGATGGCTGCATCTCAAATAAGTGCCATCGGACAACTAATTTGAACATTACAGAGTTCTGTGACACGAGGAAACCAGCAACGGGGTTTGGCTACCTTCGAAGGCACAGCTTATCCCTTGTCCATGCCAGTCTGAGGAAGACCAGTTGCTGCCATTCATTGGGTGCAAGCTCACTAGTTTGTTAAGCTGTACGTGCCGCCAAATGCAGTAGGCTCCGCAGAATGCAAATGCGGATACTCACTGGTTTTGTAGTGGGGTTGATCTTGCAACTCCGTTCGTGGGGTTGCTGTTTGGAAGGTGCCCAAAGATGAGCTCTGGCTTCCTGACGGGAGTTACTTGCCGCTGCGTTTGCACACTGGTCCCACCAGCTCTGGGGGTCCAGCCAAAGCCTTATCCACGAGACGTGGATGTCACATGCCATGAAGTAGGATGGCAGCTGTGATTTGTTCATGCTGATGTCGTTAACTGCCAGCTTGGCTTTTGTCCTGCTTTCCTTTGCGCCAAGCTATGGGAAGGATTCTGACCTGAGGTCGCATCCCTGCTAGCAGTTGATTCTAGATCCACCATTACTGCCGGATACTGCCTGATTTGTTACCGTTGTAGCGCGCTCAAAAGGACAACCTTCTGCGGACAACCTTCTGCGGACAACCCACGAGTCATGTGACAACAGCAGAGCGCCATGATGATAGGTCAGCGACCACACTCCCGAAACGAGATCCTCAATCGCTTAATTTACACGTGGCTTACTCTCAAGATGTTGCTGAGGCCCAGATGAACGGAGAGGCATGGCGGGTTGTGATTAAGTTCCTGCTGCATGTCGATTAGTCGAAGAACTGTGGCGGTTAGCAACTTCAGGTGCTGGCTCCATTTGCTACCACCTTCGGAGAACAAGCAGATTGTTCTCGGAGGAGCGATATCACCCAGCAGAGGCAGCCAAACGACTTTTCCTTTGACAGGAAGGCCGTAAGTGAGCTCGGAGCCTTTCTGTAGCATCCTTGAAGCTGCCGTCATGGTGGGAGCTGCAACTTCCGCCTGTTGCCTCTGATCTTGCGATACGGCAGATCTGACAAAATCAGCGACGGCACATAAGCGCTTGCCATCTGGCCATTTGTTGTGCCACCGTCTGCCGAAACTCTGCTCTGAAACATTGATGCATTCATGTCCGTCAGGAGAGCACTGAAGGTGATTCCGCCAACAATCCAACATGACTGTTCTGCCCGCAGCTTGGCTCTAATTTGCTGCAGATGGCAAACATCTGAAGATTGCGTGCCGTGCTGAGTGCTCAGCTGCATTGCAAGACATGAGCCAAACGACAACCCCTCGACTTAGAACAGGTTCAGCATGGGCCGCCTTGCTGCATCAGATTGCAAGGCTTGATGCTCTATGTGTGACAGAGCATTGTGAGGTGTGCCCAGCCAGGGACAGATCAGAGCAGCAAAGGCCAAACATCTTTGCAACTGCCATGTGATCACAAAAACAACTTTGGGTGTAATGGCTGCCAGGCTGAGGCCCGCGCTGCAGCCAACAAGACTGGGAAGCAGCCTAGCTTTGACTTTGGTGCGTGTGTCACGCTTTATGCAAGAGGTAAGCAAGGCGCAAAATTCTGGAAGTTCGTTGTCTATTTTCAGTGATGACGCTCTCGAATTCCGTACAGCAAATGGAGAACTCCAGACTCCAAATTGAAAGTCGAGAAACTTGTCGCGAAGGAAAGAAGGCTACCATTTCGGAAAGGGATTTTGTTCGTCTAGTTTTGCAAATCGCTCATGTGAGAGGGCCTTGTATAAGGCATCGTAACATCCTCACAAAGAAGAAGTCACGGGCCCAGGAAAACTCAGCAGGGGAAGTTGTTTGGTCTGGTTCTTGCACCAGGTTGAAACGAGAGAGGACTGTTGTTGGAGCTTTGCCAATGCGTGCAGTCTGTGGGATGGATCGGCTTCACCGTTCCACCCTGCGGTTCAATGCCTTGCAGGAACCAGGCGCGCAACAGCAAGAAGAAGGAGGCGTCTGCGCTGGAAGCTTATCTCCTACGATATCTCATTGGATGTAATCTGCAAAACGCATATTTGGTAGTTTCCCAAAATAAGGGGACCCCAATATAGACCCTAATATACTATAGTCCTTATTATGGGGATCCCCAAAAAGGTAACCTCCCAGTTGGAAGCATGCAAAGTGCGAGGCCTGATCGTGGCCGAGCTGAGGCCCTCTTTCCATTCTTACTTCAACTGTTGAACCTAGTAAGATATAGTGGTTATATAGGGGTAATGGATAAGAAAATGGAAGCTACTATTTTAGGCCTAGCGGCAGGGG